CCCCACGGCCTCTTCACCTCACGAAGGTCATGCATGTAACACAATGAGAACAAATACTAAGATACACACCACGAGGCTGGTACCCTGTCTGCAAGATGGGATGCCAAGGGCGCAGGGGGGCCGCAGCTGCTGGGCCCCAGGTCTGGGGGGCCTGCACCTTCCCTCTCCCCGGGCCTCCCTGCTTTATCCTCAACCCCCTCTCCTGGCTGGCTCTGTCCTTTTCGGCCTGGCTCTTCCTTCCCCTCTCCCGGTGAGCTGTGTAGGTCAGTACCACCAGCCCATCCCGTCAGCAGAAGCTCCAGGCAGGAGAGAAGGGGATGGAGGGGGAGGAGGGGAGAGGGCAGAACTAAACAAAAAACCCAATAGAACTGAAACTCCAGCCTCAAAGAAACAAACCAGCACTGTGGACTCTTCTACCGATAACCTGGGGGGCCCTTGCTTCCTTCCCCGATCTGCCTGACAGGGAAGAGACCCCAAATCTCCACCCTCCCAGCCCCACCTGGGCAGTGGCCCAGGGTCACATCCCACCTCTGCACACTCCCTCCAAGGAGGGCCTATCGCCATTCCCCGCCTCCCAGAATCTCTGGACAGTCCCGCAGTGTGTACGAGTAGCTTCCAGAACGGGACCAGAGACCCGTGAAGCATTACTGCAGCGGTTTGCTCCCCCCTCTTTCTAAATATGGAGAAACTGTTCAGGCACCAAGATTAAAACAAGCTCGAGTTACATCCTTGGATTGTACCGACACACAGCCTCCCTGTGCCCCTCACATCCCCAGACCGACCTCCCCGTCTCCCTGGCCTCCTTCAAGGCAGCCCAAAGCAGCAATGACATTTAATATTGTATATCTCTCTCTTGATATATATATATATGTATATCTATATATATTTGTCTATCCTATATACACATAGGATTTTAATGCTTTGAATGAGTCAAGGAGCCTGAACAGGGAAAGACAGCCTATGGGTAAGGGATCAGGGTCACAGGTGGAGGGGACGCTGAATCATCATACACATCCCAAGCCAGAGGCCTTTCGTGATGCAGGGTAAAGCAACAGCAAGTGGCGTTGTTAGCAGTACCACAGCTAAAGGCAGCGAGGTGGCCAAGGGGCAGCAAGAAGCGGGGGGCATAAAAACACACAGGTCTCACTGCCCCCCAGCTCCTGGGCTCCCAAACATCTTTGGGATGTTTCTTTCACTCCAGATACACCCCGAGAGAGCCTCCAGGGAACATATCCCCACACCATCACTCCGAACCAGAGCCCCAGGGTGAGCAGGACTCGGTTGGCCCCACTCATCTGGCCTCCTTGGGTTCAGAATCCTCGGGGATCTAGGGACAAGTTCAGGGAAGAGCACAGGGAACTCTTTTCAGGGCATCTGAGTCTCCCTGGGGGACTACAGACCCCCCACCCCTGCCCGCTCCCTACCACTGGCTGGCTACCACTGGCTGGCTACTGGGATCTGTAATAGGCTGAGGGTTGTTGGGGGGAGGGGCGGTTCGGGGCAGGCAGTGTGGATCCAAGGCCGCCACCCCAGACCACAACATGCTGCACGAGTGAACACAAGCGCACACAGAAAGCACACGCACGCACACGCAGGCCAAGGGATTTTTCTCGGTGGTGGTGGGTTTTTTTTTTTTTTTTCTTTTTCTTATTTCCTCTTCACATTACAAAAGGAACGGGCTAGATCCTGCAGCACGGACGGAGGGACTAACAAATATTACAAAAATATTACAATTTGTAAATACGAGCTCAACCTCTCCGTTTTCCAGAGCAGGGGCAGGGGCCCGGGGGGGCAGAGTGAGAGAGAGGTGTCAACGCCTTGTTTGGAATAGTTTGACCCGACCCCCACACCTTTCCTTCTCCACCAAAGTTAAATGACATCTTGCTTCTAAAATACTGTTTTCTGGGATTAACAGCTCCCCTGAGGGTTGGCTCGCCCCATCCCCATCTCCTCTCGGGCAATAGTGCATAAGGGCTTCCCATAGCCTGCCCCTCCCACAATGACTTCAGTCCTCCTGCGATAAACACCGCACTCTCCAGACAGAGTTCAAGTCCAACTTTTCAAACTCTTCCTTTCCAAAGCACTATGTCATTATTGGAATTGGAAGACAGGCCCCTCCCTACCCTAGTTTTCTAACCTCAATTCCACAGGCTAGTGACACGATCCCCCACCCTGCCGCCCCCATCTGCACCCCACCCCCCAAATGCACACTTTTTAAGGCCTTCAGATTTTGTGGATGAGATTGAAGGGGAGGGTGGGGGGCAAGGACACAGGTGAGGGAATGACAGTAGCAACCATCCCTCCAACTTCCTTCTGTCCCTCACAACCCTGCCCCCCTCAACAGGAGTCCCCCAAACCACTTAGTCGCAAACCTCAGAGAGAACTTTCAGGAAGGAAAGAAACAACGAAGAGCAAACACCTGCAAACACAAACACAGCGGGAGAAGCCCACCCCAGACTGAGCCCACATAGCCGAAGACTGCTTTCCCAGGGGCTCAGGGGCTGAGGGGCAGCAGCACGGGGCGGGGGGGGTGCAAAGGAACCAAAGGACAACTGGACGAACGTAAGAGGTAGCTTGTGGGGAAAAAAATGACACCTTTGCCCCAGCACAACGCAACACAACACGACCCAGCCTGGGCCAGGCCCCAACCCACGCGCGCACACACACAAATAAGACAAAATTTGGCAATTTGGGTGGGGGCGGGGGTGGGGTCACAGCGTGGCAAGGATCTAAATAGAGGCCCCCCCCAAACTGAATGACTCAGGACCTTGAACGAAAGGTGGGGTTTCCCCCTAGAATACTTTAGGCTGAACTGGCCCAGGTGCAGGTGGCTTGAGCCCCTTGGGCACAGCCCACAGTGACTCCCGAGGACCTCTGTGGGGACAGTGTGACCCCAAGATAACATCCCCTCCACCTACCTTCTGAGGATTGTGGGTCCTCAGCTCCTTCTGGGCTGCCCCTGCCCCCTGGGGGTATCGGGGCGGCCAGTGTCTGGGGGATGGGATAGTCTATAGACTATCCCCATGGGATAGTCATGGGGGCCAGCTGAAGTTGATAAAAACCCAACACAAGAAATAAAAGACCCTCCTATCCTACCAAGACCCAACCCCCCAAAAAGAGGGGGGAGGGAGGTGGGTGTGTTAAAAGCTTATGAGGTCACAAAAAACTGAGGTAATTCAAGTACAATGTGCTGACAGGGGACACAGACAAGAAGCCACACACAACACGAGGCCAAAGCGCTTTCAATTGCAAGCACCCCTTCCTCCTCTGTGACGGAGGGCCTGTGAGTCGGGAACCCTGGGCCCCTCTCTGGGCCTGGGCTTGCCCACTGAGCATCAAGGCCTGGGGGCCCCCATGCTGCCTCAATGACCCCTCTACTGGCCAGCTGGCTGTACCCCTGAGCCAGTGGGGAGCCCTGGGTTCCAGGCTTGGGCCTGTCCAGCGAGTGGCAGCCCTCGTTCCCTTGGACCATCAGCTGTCAACGAACCCTTTCCTGAGGGGCTGAGGCATGGATGTAGCCCCGGTGTTCGGTGGGGCTACCGGATACAGAGTTCCAATGCTTCCTCTCCATCTGGGGAGCAGAGGCAGCCCCCCCCCCCCCCCCACCCTGCTCAGGACGAGGGTGGGCTGGGAGGGAAGGCAGTTCTCGCCCTTTGTCTTGTGTTCTCGGAAAGCTCCTGACGGGCTGGGAGCCCCTCCCCGGGGGACATGGGTGACTGGAGGCAGGCCAAGGCCAGCAGCATGGAGCCAGGGGAGGGGGCAAGAGGGAAGGCGCAGGGCCGGCAAAAGGGCAGGAAGCAGCAGATGAGTGAGTCCTGGGGAGGGAAAAAGAGACCGCCCCCATCGGTCTGCTCCAGCAAACTAGAGCTGCTATCTTCACGACAGCCAGGCCTCAGCCCAGGCACCCCTGCACCGGGCCTGCTTCTCCCCTGCGGGCCTCCAACCTCGAAGGAGCCCCCGGGAGGGGTGGGCAGGCCTAGGCTCAGCCTCGCCCTGGGCCTGAAGGGAGGGTCTGGGTAGAGGGAGGAGAACAACCCGCTGTCAGAAGCGAACAAAACCAACCCCCACCCACCCGTCCACCCACCCAAGAAGCTCAGGCAGCCTTCCAGCGGGGAAAGGAGGGAGTGGAGGCCCTGGGCCGGAGCAGCGCCCAGGCATCCGCCATGGGAGCCCTAGGGACAAGCCAAGGCCAAACAGCTATCAGGTTTCCTGTCTCTCTCTCTCTCTCTCTCTCTCTTTTTGTTTTTCTTGCACAGTCCTTCCTCCACGTTGCTCTAGTTCTCTCCCTGCTGCCCCCCCCCACCCCCACCCTGCGGCGGGCCGGCTTCACACGTAGCACAGGTACAGGTAGGTCTTCTCTATCCTCCAGTCGGGCGGTATCTCCTCGGGCTTGTGGCCCTTCATGTGCTTCTGCATGGAGGAGAGGCTGGGGCAGTACTCGGTACAGATGGTGCACTGGTAGGGCGAGGCGCCGTTGTGCGTCCGCAGGTGCTTGATCATGGCCGAGTAGTCCCGGGAGCGCTGGTGACACAGTTTACACTCGAAGGGCTTCTCACCTGGGGGGGGAGGGAACAGGTCAAGCGGGTTGGCAGGGCCTCTCCGGGAGGTGGTCTCTGCCCTTCATCCCCGGCTGGTTGGAGGGTCGCGCTCTTGCTCAAGGTGGGTGCCCTCCTTGAGAAGCCTGTCTAGGGTGAGGGGACATCATCCCACAGGGGCGTCACCAGCCACCCTGGGTCACTGGCGGGGGCGACTGGAAGCGACGCAGGGGCACCCCAGAGCAGCGCCCACCAACTCAGATGGCTGCACGGAGTAGCCAGGAGCCGAGGGAGGGCTTGTTGGGCACACGCCCAGCCTATCCCCATGTTACTGTCTTCCTCACTCCCTCGAACCCTGGGCTTCACAGCAGCTGCATTTGTACAAGCAGGACACTGGGATTTTGTCCTCCTCAGTGCCTCTGGGTAAACTCGAACCCCTGACCTCTTGAGTTAGCAGCTGAGCCCCTGAGTAGCTCGCAGCACCCGCGCGCCCCCCCCCCCCAGAGCTTCCGAAGTCTCCCCAAGACACAGCCTAGTCCCTTTCAAGAAAGGAAAGGGCTGTCTTTGGAGCAAGGGCCCCTTTGGAGACGGCTCCTCAGACCACAGAGCCCTTCAGGGGAGCAGGGGACTGAGGTTCCAGAGTGCAGCTCTAGGGTGGGAGTGGGGGAGCCCAGTTCATCTCCACCCAGCAGCCTCTGGGGACGCCCCGTCTTTGGCGCCGTGGCTCTCCAGCCTGCACTAGACACTTGCCCGCCCTCTGTGGCTCACAGGCAGAGTGGGGTGACGGAAAACTTGGGAGTGGGCAGCCACACCCCCACCGACAGCTGCCCCGCGCCCCGCCCCCCCGCCCCCCGCCCCACTCTGTTAGAGCTGAGCAGAGCATGTGAGGGAACCTTGTTTCGATACAGTAATTAACTGGCCGCCTTCTCGCTATCGATACTCCTCCGTGCAGAGGCCCCAGCAAATAATGAAGTAATGAACAGTCAAAGTGATCTGACTATCGACCGGCTATTTACAATAGTCACTGCCGATGCATTTAATGATCCGCCTGCCGGGCCACAGCCCCAGCAAGGGACGAAGGCAACCCCGGGGCTCTGGGAAACCCTCCCAGTCACTCGAGTTGTCAGCAGTGAAGACCCGGCCTTCTCCCGAGGCTCGAGGCTGGGGGCCGGGACACACAGCGAAGGCAACATGCCCCTCTGCCCCCTCCGCCAGAGACCCAGCCAGTAGGGCATGTCCTCCTCTGGACAGACAGCTGTCTCCCCTGTCAGAGGGGGCTATCTGGCTCGTCGGGTCCCACTCTGAATCTCCCCCTAGTGTACCTGCTGAGGGCAACATGGAATGACGGCTCCCCGCCCCACCAAGTCCAGATTTGCAGCACGGACCACTTGACCTGCTGTAAACACTTCCACTGTGGTTGCCGTTAAGCAACGAACGTGATAGCACTTAACTGAGAGGCTCCCCCAAGCCCCTAATTCTGCCCTAGGTCTCTGGACCTCTCCCACCGCGGGGAGACAGTTGTGCATGTTGCTGCGTCTCCTGTCTTTCTCGTAGGGGAGGGTGGGAAGGGTACAACCGTGTACCCAGAGGGGGTTAGGAACTATATCGGCTTGTCTCCCCCCAGGGCTGGGCTTGACTACAATGCGCCCAAGGGACCCCTTCTTTCTTACTCTAACCCTCAGACGATGCGAAGACATGCACGTTCAGCCAATCAGGCCTGCGAGACTCAAGTTCAGGGCTCACAAATCGACATCATCTTGCATATCGGCTGCCTGGAGGCCTATGGGCCTTCCGAGGCACGGATGGTGGCCCTCATTCCACCAGACTAACCTTTAAGGCAGTGGTTCTCAACCTGTGGGTCGAGACCCCTTTGGGGGTCCAAGGACCCTTTCACAGGGGTCACCAGATTCCTAACAGTAGCAAAGCGAAAGGGTCGCAGCATGAGGAAGGTTGAGAACCTTCAGAAAACCTGCTTCACCCTTGGCTTGGCCTCAGACCATCCCCTGGGAAGCCGCCTACACCCCACCCCTCCTGTGCCCAAGGCAGGTGGCCCCCACACCTGTGTGCACCCTGTAGTGCGTCTCCAGCTGGTGCTTGAGGCTGAACTTCTTGCCACAGCCGTTGCACTCGTAGGGCTTCTCGCCCGTGTGGATGCGCTTGTGGCTCTTGAGTGTGCTCTCGTCCCGGAAGCAGCTGCCGCAGAACTCACACTCGTACGGGTGGTCGCCTGCGGAGACAGGGGCCAGGGTCAGGTCCTCGCTCTCCCGGGGCCTCTTCCCAGGTTGTGTTCAGCGACCAGCGGCACCCACCGCCTCCAGAGACCACTTCGGGTGCCTGATGCCACCCAGCACCACAGCATGAACAGGAAGTACATGCTGACTGAGGCCCAGCCCCACGGGCCTGGAAGAGGAGGGCCCACCGGTTTGCGAGAAGAACAGCAGAGCCCCGGAGCAGAGCCCCCCAGGGCAGAGCAGACAGCTTCTCCTGCTGCCTCCTCATCTCTTCCTCTAGGTCAGCAGGTCTCAACCCATGGGTCTTGACCCCTTTGGGGGTCAAACGACCCTTTCACAGGGGTCGCCCGATTCATCAGTAGCAAAATGACACTTAAGAAGTAGCAACGAAAATAATTTTATGGTTGGCAGGGGTCACCACAACATGAGGCACTGTTTTAAAGGATGGCAGCATTAGAAAGGTTGAGAACCACTGCTCTAGGTCAAGGGCAAAAGCGGCAAGCCCCACACCCCTGCTCCTGCAAAATCCATGCAACCTGGGGTGCTTCTCATCCCCCTAGACACTTTCTGACTGCTGTCACCACCACAACTTTGCACAGCTAGTCCCTCTACTTGCTCTCCCTGGCCAACTCCTATTCATCCTTCAGGGCCCAGATCAAACATCTCCCCGAGCTGGGAACTTTCCTTTAGACTCCTAGGCAAAATGAGTGGCCTCTTCCTTCCCTATCCCTTTGTTCTTTGTCTATCACTGGCACCCTTCTGGTGACACAGAGAGCCCCAGTGGCAGAGTGAGATAAGCACTGACCTGCTAGCCACAAGGCCAACAGTTCAAATCCATTAGCTCCAAGGACAAAGATAAGGCAGTCTATTCCCATAAAGATTCAGCGTCTCAGAAACCCCAAGAAGCAGCCCTATGTCCTATAGGGTGTCAGGAGTCCACATGGACTTGCCGGCAGTGGGTTTGATCTTGTAAAGTCCCAAACTCACTGCCATCAGTTGATGCCAACTCATGGTGACCCGATAGGGCAGGAAGAAGAACTGCCCTTGTGGGGTTCCAAGGCTGTAACCCTTCCCTGGAATTTAAAGCCTCCTCTTTCTCCCACAGAGGGGTTGGTGGTTTTGAACTACGGAACTTGCAGTTAGCAGCCCAATGAGTAACCACTAAGCCACCGGGGGCCCCATACCTGTTGAATGCTTCGCTACAGTGCCAAGAACTCCACATGGGCCCCCCACCCGCTCACATGGGACACTCACATCCCTCCCATTTTACGGAGAAGAAAATGTGACATCATCCCTTGGGTCCAAGAGCCAGGAAGCGGCTGTGATAGGCCCGCAGCATCTGGACACTGAACGCCCACCTCCTGTGAGGAGCCCCGGTGAGGTGGTGATCCCACGGTAGGCTGTGATCTACAAGGTGAACTGTTCAAAACCACCCACCGTGATTTCTACGCCTGTAAAGAGCGACCGTCTCAGAAACCCACAGGGACAGGTCCACCCAGTCCTACAGGCTCGCTACGCCAGGATTGACTCGCTGGCAGTGAGTTTGGTTCATGAGCAGGCTGCATGGCGGCTATATTGACATCCACCGAGGCCCTAGGATGGAGACACCTCAAGGGTACCAACTGACCCCATGCAGCCCTGTGTCCAGGCTGCTGCCACAGGGATGACGCATGGCCGGGACTCGGGAAAGGCCCGGCATATGAAGTGTAAAGAACTAAGAAGACCAAGCTCCAGTCCGAGTCCAGCACCCATCTCCACGGCTGCTCTCACACGCCGTGGGGAGGGAGAAGTTGAGGTGCGAGGGATTAGCCATCTCGTGCTTTGTGCCCAAAGTGGGGGGACTCTGGGGGCTGAAAGGTGGGGACTTCGAATACTTATTTATTACAGGAGTGAAGGCACCGACAATAAAGATAGATTGATCACCCCAGACTCTGTTCATGAATATTTAAATATCGCTGATTCGTCTTGTCACTGTAATTACAATTTCTCTGGGCTGCATCTCCAACCACCACAGTTTATGGTAAAGAATGGCCCACTGTATTTCACTTGTCCCTCTGCAGATGTGCGGGGCTGCCACCCATGTAATGTTCTCTGCATTTCATACATTTTCTTCAGCTGCTGAAGGTTTAAGTCATCCACAATGACCTACGTTTTTTCATTATCCCCATGTCAAACTGCGCTCGTGCCTGGGCATAAATTGTCCTTCTCGTTATAGACTCGCATGCCTCTGCCTTCACTTCCTCTCTAAAATGATATTTTACTCGCTCCCCTCCCCAGGCTGCTCACCAAACCCCAGCCCCGGCCAAACGCAGGCCCCTCGACCCACATAAATCCTCATCTCCTCTGATGGCTGGGAGGGTTTTTAAGGCTCTGTGGGGAGTGGATGCTGGGGTCTGCTCACAGTCTGGTGCTCTTCTGGGCGGAAGATTTGCAGGAAGCGTGGAGTGTGTGTGTGGGGGGGGGCGTGGAAGGGGAGGCATGAGCACTGGAATGGATGGGATGGGAGAGGCTTGACACCAGGTCCCCCCATTCTAGCGGGCACTGTTCTGAGGGTATACATGGCCAGGACACTCCTAGGAGGTGTGCATGGACTCAGAGGTTTGCTGTGCTGGGACAGAAGTGTCTCTCTTGGGGGTTGGTCGGCAGTGGTCTTTATGGGAGCAGATGGTTCAGCCTTTCTCCCGTGGGGCAGCTGAGGGAGTTCAAACCAGTCACCTTTCTGTTGTCAGCCGGACGTTCTACTAACCCTTGCGCCATGCCACCAGGGCTCCTGTGGCAGGTGGGCGGGAACTGGACCCACAGGTTTTTAGGCTGGGAAAACCAGGATCGACCTGGCCTCTCACTGCCAGGGCGCAGCAGACGGCGGGTGGCCAGTCCCCCCTGCCTCATCGAACCCAACGGGAGGAGCGGCCAACACAGACCCTGGCCCGAATCTGTGGTGTGTCCCAGGTCTCGGGGATTAGCCTGTGCACACACATGCGCGTGTGTGTGTGTGTGTGTGTGTGTGTGTGTGTGTGTGTGTGTGTGTGTACACCCAGCCCCCTGCCTGACATCCAAACCCACCCTCCCTCCCTGGATCAGCAATGATTACGACTTTAATCAAGGATTCGGTATCCTCATTAAGAGCTAAATAAATAAATAAAGCCAGGGCCACGTGAGACTTCAGCAGGAGCCGGTAATTAAAACGTACGCCATCGCCAGCAGCCACCAGGCCGATGCCTTTGGCCTCTAGAGGCGGCCCTCCCTGGCTCCCACTGCCCCGGGGAAGTTTAAGACACAGAGGGTTACAGAGAGAGGGGTTGGTTTGATCCGATGTGTTTTATTTTTATGAATTTAATTGTGAAGTGGATTGCTGGTCTCTAGAGTCAGCCCAGGGAGAACAGCAGGAAGGAGTAGCAGGAGGACACACACCGAGGCTGGGTGGGGTGCTTTCTGGAGCATGGAGAACACCTGGCCTGGAACCCTCACCCGGAGAGTTAATCACGCCAGAGTCCCCTTCTTGTACACAAACCTGGCTGCAGACCTCAAAATCCAATTTGTGCTATGTTGATTAACTCTGTAGCCTTCTTAATGAGCTTGACATTAAGTGCAGGACCAACGAGACTAATTAGAGCCCCCTCCGGCCTGAACAGTGCACCTGGGACCCCTGGTGGTCCATCCTTACCTGGTGGCTTCCCGGGAACTGGCCATAGCTGGCACTGGCGTGGTCATCCCTGTCCGAGGGCTCCTGGGCCAGTCTTCCCACTCCCTCCCTTCAGCACAGCTGAGAGTTTATTATATGACAAGCTGTGTGAATCCAGGATCTATCAATGCCAAGAGCTCGGCTGGACTAACCTACCAAACACAGCTGCTGATGCTAAACATCCAGGCCCAGCAGCAAATGGGGCAGGAACAACGGAATATTGATGAGGCATTGTGTGTGTGTGTGTGTGTGTGTGTGTGTGTGTGTGTGTGTGTGTGTGTAGTTGTTTGTGCATGGCCTGGGGACAGATTGTGTGCACTGGGCCTTGCTGGCATGAAAATGATGGGTGTTTGCATGTGTGCTTGGGCAGGGCACGTGCTCTGTGTTTCTTGGGTTAAGCAAGGGAAATAGCCCTCCCCAGAGACTGCAGACCCTGTGGGCACATGGGTACCAGATAGATGAGTGAATCCTGAGTGGGTGGGATGGGTAGAGCAGGAGTGGCCTGGGGATCACCTAAGCCTGAAGTGGCTGCAAGGTGACTAGCCACCTTTCCTGTGCTGACCGTAGGGACCCCAGAGAGGTAGCAGTAGGGAGGCACGGGTACCTGCAGGGGATACTTGCACGGGCACTCTGCAGGGAGACCTTGTCCGCGGCCTTCCTCCTTAACTCTCCTAGGACCTCCAGCTCCCTGTCCTCAGCCATTCTGAGTAACTCTAAGGCCTGGTGAGGTGGAGGCAGCATGTCCCTCTGAATGGAGAGGCCCAGGGAGATCCCAGCCAATCCGCAAGGCGAGGAGGCCTCCCACCGCCAGGCCAGACTATGTATCCATGGCAAACTTCAAACAGAGCATCAGAAAACCCGGGTGTTGCCTCTGTGTCCTCTCTAACTCCTCCAGAGGAGACGCATGCTCCCCAGGAAATCCCACAGCGGACTGCTTGAAAGGAGACCACTGGGACTTCCTTCTGAGGGGCTTGGACCTCCAACCTTCTGATCACCAGGTGAGCACACAAAATGCCTGTGCCCCATCCATGGCACAGGAAAACCGCTCTTGCGCAGCTGTCTGCCACCCGCCTGGGCGTGTCCTGCACCCTTGGGCCTGCAGCCGGGAGAAGACGGGTTTGCTGCTCTCCTGCTCCAGCAGACACGCAGCACGCACACTGCTCCCTCTGCAGGGACACAGTCTGACCACGCCCCTCGATCATTTGGCACTGGCTGAGCAGGAACAGGGGCGATGGTCTGTGTGCTTGTGGAAACACCCTCATTGCCTGCTGAAGCTCAGGCAGAGTAAACGAGTGCACATCGGTGCACAGTGACAGGGACGCCGGGTCCATGTCTCCCCAGGGGCCAGCAAACGGGCACCTGAGAGGCCGCCTTCAGGACAGCAAGCCAGGAGGCAGCGGAGCTGGAGTGGAGGGGGTCCAGGTGGGAAAAGTTAGAGACCTAGCAGGGCAGTTTTCCTCTACAGGGGTTTGGGTCCTCCTGAATCAGAAACTCCCTGGAATACTTAATGTTAATGTTGAGTCTGGAACCCCACCCAGGAATGGTCCTCAATCAGTGTGTACATTATTACATATTTGTTTTTTGCATAAAAGGCAAACATCTGCATGCTCAACGAGCATCCTCTCTGCCGCATACAGAGAGAGGGAGGGGCAGTGGTGGCCGGGGCGGGGCCCCCGGGAGGGACTCTCCCCACTCACTCTGAGATACAGGGAGCCCCTCTGTGTCCACCGCCCCGCCCCTCCCTGTGTCCAGGTCGGAGTACAGACCCACCCACCTGCGGGCGTGGCCTACGCGCAGACCCACCCACCTATGGGCGCGGCCCATGCGCAGACCCACCCACCTGCGGGCGTGGCCTATGCGCAGACACACCCACCTGTGGGCGTGACCCCATGCGCAGACCCACCCGCCTGTGGGCGTGGCCTACCTGTGTGGGAGCGCAGGTGGCGTTTGAGGGCCGTGTGGCTGGGGAAGGTGCGGTTGCACTCGCTGCAGATGTAGCTGCGCACGCCGGCGTGGACCTCCATGTGCTGCTGCAGCGCACTCTGCGCCTGGAACCGCTTCCCGCACAGCAGACAGAAGACGGCCATGTCTGTGCCTGCGGAGACACGGGAGGGAGGGGAAGGTGAGCGGCCGGATGGGGGACACGCCCGCCAGGCCTTGCCCCTTGGGGCCAGTGCAGCCCATGCCGGGTGGCTGGCTGAGCGCCTGGCACGTGCCAGCCGCACAGGCTTCGTGATGGCCGTGATGCAGAGGGAAGCAAGCCTGAGGGGGAGAGGGGCGGCGGGCAGGAGACACATCTCCACAGCCAGGGTGCGTGTGCGGTGGAGACACGCACCACAGGAGAGGAGGCAGGGCGCTGAACGGGTGGGTGAGGGCGGCGGGCCTGTGAGAAATTAGTCACGGAGACTGCTCCAACTCGACGATCGTCCAAAGCAGGGCAACTAGAGGGCACGGCACAGAGACGCCCACAGGCTGGCCCAGGGTTCCCCAAGTGGCCAGGTGGGAATTGGAACCCAGCCAGCCTCCAGCGGAACTGGTTCCTGCCCTCTGGTTGCTCGCTGCCACCCAGGCGGGCCCTGCGCTGGGCACCCAAGTCGATGCACATGGAGCTGACTGCTGCCTGGTCCCACACTTTATGCCCAGGGCCAGACCTTATGACCCACCGGGTTTGCACTGCCTGCTTCTCAGGGGTCAATTACCAGGTCTTTCTTCCGAGTTGGCCTGAGCCTGGCAGCTCTGCTGAAACCTGTCAGCACCTCAGCAACGGGTTCTCCTCCACTGGCCAGGTAGGAGAGGTGCTGGCTGTGAGCCTTGTACCCTGACCACTGCCCATTCTCAGCCACTTCTTCACTCATTTCGAGCATGGATCTTAATGACATTCATTCAGCAAGCACGGCTTCAGTGCCTTCTACAAAGCAGGGCTGCACGGAGTCGGACGCCTCTCAACAGTCATCGGTCGTGGTTTTTACATCTTTCTCCCTTAGCAGGGCTCTCACCATCATAGAGCTCGACCCATGGGGAGGCCTGGAAAGTTCCCGCTCTCTTCCCAAATGTTCCCCAGCACCCAGAGAGGGCACTCCGGAAGGTGAAGCCATCTGATGTGCCCGAAGAAGCAGACAGGGGCCAGGCTTAAAGCCATGTTGCAAGCTCCATGTTTTATTGTAAGGCTAGTGGACAACTGTTAAAGGAGATTAAGTTGATGAGATGCTCATTTAATTGTGTCTGGTCGGTCCCTGTACTGAACAGAAGCATGGCTACCCACCCAAACCACAAGCAAATCTACCACCCTCAGGTTGCTCTGCGGGGTGGCTGGGCTGTCAATTTCGATGGGAGCAGACCACCTGTAAGGCAGGTAGTAGGTCTGAACCACAAACCTATGGTTAGCAGCCCTGCGCCTAAACCAGAGTGCCAGTAGGACTCCTTCAGGACCCTACAGAGATAAGCTGCCGTTTTCTGCCCATCATCAAGCCCCTTCCCACGTTTACCCTGGCATCCTGGCCTTCCCGGCTACAGAACCAGGGAAATGTCTACACTCTTCTTTGTCTGAGCCCACCCGGTTGCCCGATGCCCACCATTCTGGATGACGTTTCCTTAAGTATGTTAGCTCATCTGCAAGCCCATCAGCACGCTCCCTTAGTGGCATCTGGACAATATCCCCGGGGTTGGCCTGGTCTCACTGTCCCCCGTTTCCAGGACACACAAAAGAAAAGCGGTAAAGGACCGAGCCTGCCAACCCCTCCCATAGTGGAGGGGGCAAGGCTTCTTCTGCATTCGACTTTCCACTCCAGGTTCATGGAATCAGAATCTAAGTGTCAAAAAAGACCTCTGGGTGATTCTTTGAGACCCCCATCTTATGGATGTACACATAGGAACCACGTGGGCAGGGGAGGGGCAGCTCTTGTTAAAATGCTGATTCCCATTCAGTATCTCTAGGGTGAAAATGCAATTTCTCAGCAAGGGGGCCAAGCAGAAAGAGTTGATTGGAACCCCGCAGGGAGGGAGGGAGGGGCGGGCCATTGGAGTCAGGGGCCTTCAGGTGATTGGCGAGGGTGGAGAGAAGGAAGAGCAAGAACACCTGAGTGGCTCCCCAGTCCATCGGCAGACAGAGCAGCGGGAAGGTTTGGCTCTCTCTGGCTCCATCCTATTCACAGAGGGGCTAGGGCAGATTAGCTCCCCCATAGTTAGTCTCAGAAACCCACAGGGGCGGGTCATTGTGGGTCAGCATCCACTCGATGGCAGTGAGTTTGGCTTTGGTTTGAGTGGAAGAGCCTGGTTAGCACTTTGGGTAAGTATTGGATTGGACTGATAACTGCAAGGTTGTCTGTTCAAACCCACTAGCCTCTCCATGGGAGAAAGATGAAGCGATCCGCTCCCGTAAAGAGTTAAAGCCGTGGAACCCTAGACAGGGTCAGTATGTGTTGGAATCGACTTGATGGCAATGCGTTAGGTGGCTAGTGGGAAGAGAGCTGCCACTCCTTGACCCCTCTCTCCCTGCTGGACACTCGGGGGTGTGGACACTAGCAGTCATGCCCATCCAACCTGCCCTTACTGGCAGCATCCAGGTCCCGGGAAAGTGCCGGAGCAGGAGGAGCCTGAGCCAGCACTGGGCTTTGCTCCTCGCCCCCAAAGACCAGGAGGGATGGGAACTGATGAACAAGGATGGTGTGGGCCGCTGTATCTCATTTAAAACCCATAGCCCGATGGGGCAGGTATTGAGGTTGGGATTCTGAGCCTCCTCTTCCAAACTGGGAATGAAATAGGAGATTGACTAACTTGCCTAAGGTCATAGCTGGAAACGGGCAGAGATAGGATTTGAAAACATCTGGTGTCGTGGGTTACACGTTGGGTGGTCAACCACAAGGTCAGCAGTTTGAAACCACCAGCCACTCCATGGGAGAAAGATGAGGCTTTCTACTCCCATGAGAGTTACAGTCTTGGAAACCCGCAGAGCCAGTGTCACTCTGTCTTACAGGGTCGCTGAGTTGGAATCGACTGCTGACAGTGAGCTGAGTATTTTTTAGGCTTGACCGATTTCAGAAACCTACTTTCACCTCTAGACCCATTTCCGCCTCTGGGCCTGGCCACCTGCCTCTCTGGCCTTCCCCTAAATGAGCCGCTTACAGCCGAGGCCTTTGGGGTACGAGCATGGAGTCCCAGCAGCTTCAGATACACCACTGTGTGCAGGGCCTGCTCCACAGTGGCTAGTGAACTCGAGGCAGAAACGGAGTCACAAGGCAAGGCTCTGTGAAGTCTTTCAACCCTGCTGGGGACCCCAGGATCTCTTGGACTCCACTGACAGAGGGGAATCCCTGGCTGGGTGGTATGCCAGGAAGAAGCTGAGCCTGGGACTGACAGGGAGTCCCTTGATGCCCAGTCCAACCGGGCCAGTACACACCGAGGCAGAGTCCACCTGTAACATGTTCTGTGACACGCAGTTCCTGCACCCTCTCTGCTAGCCCTGATCCCACAGAGAGACCTGGCCTGAAGTCAGTAAGATGGAGCAGGATTCCCTGTGAGAGATAAGGTTTCTTCTTCAGTGAGTTTGCAATCAAAGCAGAGTTAGAGCTTGGTTGAAAGGGAACATGAATGACAGCCCCTGGGACACCACAAGTCCCCAAACCAAGCTCAGTGGGGCCCAAGGCCCGGGCCACCTAGTGGGGCTACCCAGTGGGGCAAGATGCCCACAGAGTTCTGCCTGGTACTGAGGGCCCCTAGAAGCTGCCTTGCTATGACCTGCCTCCCTGGTTCATCAGGGAGCTGGATCTGAATCCCGCAGGATGCTCTGACCGACGCTCACTCTGCCAAGTCACTGAACCCCATGAGGTGTATGCACTGTGTTGGGCGGCATGCAGGGTGCTGGGCTCACCCACATAAGTGTGATCCCAGTCTGAGCACAGGGAAGAGTCCCCACTAAGCAGAGGACAGGGTGGGAGACTCTGGCTTCAGGGAGGATTTTGAGCCAGGCTTTGAGAAATGACGAGAACTTGAGGACTGGGGGATAGGGTGCATGGGCCAACCTGAGAACCATGATGAGAGAGCCCCAAGGTTGGTGGGGCCGTGAGATGGAGTACAGCCTGGGACACTATGGGCTCAGGTACCTCCAAACCCAAAGCACTGCCCTCAAGTCCCTGCTGATGACCCCTAGCAATCCCATAGGACAGGGGAGCACTGTCCCTGGAGGTTTCTCAGACTGTGGCTCTTTACAGGAGTAGAAAGCCTGATCTTTCTCCCGTGGAGTAGCTGGTGGTTTTGAACAGCTGGCCTTGCAGCCCAATGCATGATCACAACACCACCAAGGTCAGATCTCAGAGATTCCCCTATGTCCGGTGGGGTCTTTAGACCTTATCCTCAGCCATGCATTAGGCTGTTGCTAAAGCCCTTGGGGGTGGGGGGAAGCACAGCATCTTCTAGCTTGTGTCTGAGGGCAATGGCTCCGGTTGTGGCCCAGGGGTGGAATACAGGGACAAGTGGTCTGCGGCAGGATGAGAGGGATGGAGACCAGACGAGGCAGAGGCTCTGAGGACAGCAAGAAGGATGCGCACTGGCATCCTGGGAAAGTGGCTGGATGGCACGTAGGGCCGAACTGCAGGAGGGCACCGAGGGTACTCTGAAGTCCCAGGCATTTCTGTACCCAGTTGGCAGGTTTTAAATGACACGAGTGGTTATTATGCAAGGTCGGTGGTTTGAAGCCACCAGCTCAGGAGAAAGACGAGGCTTTCTACTCCCATGAAGAGTTACATCTCAGAAACTCACGGGGACAGTTCTACCCTGTCCTGTGGGGTCGCACTGAATTGGAGTCAACTCGATGGCAATGAGTTTGGTTTGGTCTGGCTAATGATGACTACCTGGAAAGGAAATGCGACAATGCCCCTCTTGTAGTCCCCCTTCCCTTTCAGGAGCACCCTTCTGTCCCATCTACAAGGCTCAGGGGCTCTCCCGGGCCACCTGCATGCAGACAGAAGATCGCAGCCAGCCAGCCAGGCAGGGGTGGAGGGGTGGTTAAGGCCCCACCCCCACTCCCCAGTCTTTTTCTTGTAGACTAACAGCTGTGATGACAGAACAGTATTCAAAAGGGAAAGGAAAGGGAGGGGCCGA